TTACCACCAAGCCTGAGAACCTAAGTCTGGTTCCTGGGACAATCTGGTGGCAGGAGTAAACTGACTCCCACGCTGTTCTCTGTCCCCGACACATGCACAGGGCAGCACATACGTGAATGGGTGGATGAAGAGACACAAACGCTATTTTTAAATTGAGATATGTTGCTTTTATCGTATATTTTCACAGTGGTGTGTTTTGTAGCACCTCTTGGTTCACACTAGCCACACGTGAGTGCTGCCTGCTGCGTGGAACAGACAGGTCTAGGTGCCCAGCAATCCCGAGAGTAGTGGTGGCTTGTAACCCCACAGGAGTCACATGTCAGATACTTACATTATGATTCATAACAATAGCAAAATTACAGTTATAAAGTAGCAATAAAATAATTTTATGGTTGGGGTCATCACAACATGAGGGACGGTACTAAAGGGTCCAGCATTGGCGAACCACTGCCCTGGAAGTTTTGCAGGGTAAATGGAGAAACCTGAGATTAAGCCCTGATTGCCACTTGTGTGTGACTGCAGTCCCTTTACCCTGTTGAGATGTTGCAAGGAATACATGCCATGTAAACAAAGTACTTATTCACTACATTGTAGTTGCTGTTGCCACTATTTCAGGAAGACATGCCCTTCCCAGCCTGGGCATTTGTACCCTTGGAGTCTGACGATAGTTCTTCTTTCTCACTCTAGTTTTCTCTCACACATTTCCAGGAAAATTAGCAGCATAGAGCTTTTCTCAATAATTCAAGCAACTGGACTTTAAAAAAAAAAAATCCTACCCCAGTTTCAAAGGCTCCAGCTATGTATCAAAGGTTTCTTCAACAGAAAAATTAGAATAAGCAAAATAAAAATTAAGGAACAAAAAATTAAAGGAAATAATTACAAGGACTGGAGAGAAATGAAATTCTGAGAGAGAACGCATCTATGGTGAAATGCCAAGTCTTGAATGGGTTGTGGCTCATTCTGCTTGCATCTTCCTGAAGCACCCCAAATTAGTTGCCTCATTCCCCCCCCCAACTTTTTAGGATGGGTTCCTGTTAATACTGAGCAAATGAGAAAAAAATCCATAAAAGCATTCATTTCTGGTTCATCATTTTATCCATTGAAAACTCAGGTTCATTTAGCGTCCTCATTGTGGACCTAATGACATGGCCGCGACCTCCGGTCCATCTCATCACTGCAGCAAGATTTGTAGGTTTGAAATCGGCTTTCTGGAAGGACTAGCTCTCACAGTCCAAAAGCAATCTGCCGCCTCATTTGTTCCACTTTCCTTACTTTATAAGTACAATGGGCTGGCTCAGCATTTCATCTCTGAGAGGCACTGTGGTTGAAACTGGAAACACTGGAGAATTATATTGAGCTCAGGAAGGACCCAGACCTTTCGAGATGCCATGAGCTCCGGTTTCACACACAGCTACTCTAACGGGAGCGTTTTATAATGGAAAAGGGTCTGGGGAGGTGGTTCAGAAGGCACCCGCATCCTGTGCAAGCAAAAGGAGCTGAGTTGGGATCTCCAGAATCAGCATAAAAGTAGCATAGTGGCGCACACCTGTCACCCCACACTAGCAAGGCAGGGTCAGCAGGGCCCAGAGCTCACTGCGGCCAGTCTAGCAGAAAGGCTGTCTGTAGGTTAAGTGAGACACTGCCTCAAAAAATAAGGTAGAGCACGATACAAGAATATATCCAAACTTGACTAATTGGACAAGTTCACAAGCACACATAAAATAAAAAGGAGACCTTTCTTTCCTAGTTTGCTTTTTGTCAGGATATTTTGTCATGGCAACAGAAATAAACTTAGGACAACCATTATATACTTTAAAAATTAGTAATCATTGATTCGAGTTTAGATTTCTTATATTTCATTGATGAACTCATTTAAGTACATTCAAACACCAAGCTAAAATGTATAGGAAAAAAGACCTGCCCAGTACGAGGTGTCATTTGGAAAAAAAACTACAAGTACTTGCTCAGTGCTCAAAACTTAAGCAAATAGGTAAGCCTTCTTGAGATTTGTTGTAAACCTAAAGAATTAAACATACAATGTTAAATATATCCACCTAGATTTATACTAAAATACTATTGTCATGTGATTTAATATATTAACTCTGATAATACAATAGCTTTTTTGGATAAAGACTGAGTACATTCGTGTGCGTGTGCGTGTGTGTGTGTGTGTGTGTGTGTGTGTGTGTGTGTGTGTGTATATATACGTGTGTTAGATTAGATCTTTGGTTTTGTCTCCACCTAGTGGACATTTTGGTCTTTTTCATTAAACTACAAAGAGGATAAACCAAGTACCCCATTTTTACAACTCAAATAACATATTGTATACTTTTTTTAACTAATAATTTATACACAAAAGAATTTGAAGTGGGATATACATATCGTGATTGGAAATTTTTAAAGAGAAAGCCACAGAAGAGAAAAGAAATAAACTACCTAAATTAATGCAACTACTGCAAACAAAAATTTACCTCTAGGTTTTTGAGGAAAGAGGAAACAAGAATTGTGATTCCTTATTATTTAATCAAATAAATGACACTGTTTTTTATGAGTAAAATTTCAAACAAGCTTTTGTTTTATAACTAAAATATGATTAATTGTTAGCTTGTGGAGATATACCATACCCACAACAAAATTTAGAAACCTTGAGAAACTATATAAAATGTACAAACTTTGTAGCTACCCTCAGATCAAGGTGCAGAATATAGTTGGTGTCCCTAAAGCCTGCTTTACACCCCCAGTGTTTCTTTAAAGCTAGCCACTATTTTTACTTCACCGTCTTTAATTTTTACTACACCATTGAATAATTTACAATGTACAACATCATATCTATAGAATTCTCCCACATTTCTACATAAAGAAGTTTGCGCTTTTTCCTTGTAATATTCTAAGAACACAATGATTAGTAGGTGTACCTTGTTTCTAACTCCTTTATGAGTCTTTGGGGCTCTGGTGAACGGTGTTGCTGGGAGCACTCTACTGTGTGGCTTTGGTGGCCTACTCCACAGTTTAGTACATGCCCGATGTTAGGACTGTGATGTTAGAACATTCCTCTTTAGTAAAAGCAGAAAAAAAAAAAAAGCTCTTCAAATTAGTCACATAAATTTACACTTTCGTTTTTGACAAGCTCTCACTGTGCTGCCCCAGCTGGTCACAAACAGTCCTGCCGAAACCTCCTGGGCCAGCTCAGGTGGCACTGGACAGTGAAGAATGAGAGCCCAGCTGCCATGTGCCCTCCAACCGTTGCTACCGCTGCGGAGCGTGGGGGAGGTGACAGCTCCTTGCCGCTTCCATTGCTTGGCCTGGTGACAAATGTGTGGAACAGTGTCTCAGTGTCTGTCAGCTGTTGGGATCTCCTCTTCTGTCGTGTGTCCATTTGTCTGTCTTTCCCCCATGCTCTACTGAGTTCCATGCTCTACTGAGTTCCATGCCCTACTCACACTGATCTGTGAGACTTCTTTATGGGTCCTGATTATTTATTAGCTAATGTGTTTCGAAAATGTTCTCCCAGTCTGTGACTTAACCCCCCCACATTCTTAACAGTGACTTTAATCAAGAGATTATCTTAATTTTTATGTTCTCTAACTTAATGTTTTCTTTTGATTTATGCCTTTTATTGCTTACATAGGAAATTGTTCCCTACACCCAGGTCGTGAACATGTTCAATAGATACCACCTAGGAGCTTTGGCCTTCCCTTTACGACTATGACCATCTAATTGGCTTCTTGTGTTTACTATATGCCAGAAGGGCTTTTTTTCCAGATGCACATTCAATTTATATAACACGCGTGCCCAGAAGTTTCTTCTCTCCCAGTCGCACCCTACACCCACTTTTATTAATATCTGGTGCTCATACATGATTAAGTCAGTTTCAAGACTATTCTATTCCACCAATGTGGTTTAATGGTTACAAACACGAAATTAACAACCAAGAATAAAAGCGAGCTGGGTGATGGTGGGGCACGAACCACCATCGTAGGTTCTCAGAGGCAAGTGGGAGGCAGAGGCAAGTGAATGTCTGGGTGCAAGAAGTGGCAGGTGTGCAGCGCACACGTGTGCAAAGGTTTGTTCTGGATTTTAAAGATGGAAGACGGGCGTGGTGGCACACGTTCTTAGCCACAGCTTGGGAGGAAGGTGGATCTCTTGTGAGTTCAAGGTCAACCTAGTCTACAAAGAGAGTTCCAGGACTGCTAGGGCTACACAGAGAATCCCTGTCTCAAACAAACAAAGAAAGAAGAAAACAACAATAAAAACCGGAAGAATAAGAGTGGTTGCAACTGGGATTCAGAGAAGATAGACATATTGCGGTGGGCGGTGGAGGCGGGGCGGGGCCGGGTGAAGTGTATCCTGAATTTGTTAAAAGCCTTTTCGAATTGTTTAACTTTCTAGAAAAGTAGTGCAACTTTTTAATGACTTAAAAAACAAAAACAAAACAAAACAAACAAACAAAAACGGAGATAACCGCTGCTTCAAACAAACTCGATTTTCTGACTCATTTTTCCAATTCTGTAGGTTCATCATCTGTAAAATCGGTGACTTTGTGCGCTGACATAGACCGTGAGTATCGAACTCGTCAACTACAGTTGTTTAGTAATTTACAGCTCCTAAATTGTGAATTCACAGTAGGAATCACCGGTCCCGGCCTGTGGCCCATCCCAGCAATCACACCTTCCCTGTCCAAGCTGGTGACCAATTCTTGGGGCTTTGGAGAAGACTTTGCTGAGTCATACTCCAGTTTTGTGGCCTTGGACACTTTCCCAAAACTTTGTGACTCTCGGTTTCCCAGTCACACAACGGAAGCACCTCTCTTGAAGCTGGGTCCTTTGAGTGGGTCTGTATCTAAGGAGTCGCTGTGCCTGACTGCACGCGGTGTGTCGCCGTCACTCGGGTCCTAGGAGAAGTTAGCAGAGCCCTGGAGGCCCGGAGCATCCGCGGTCACTATGGCAACCTCAGACGCCTCGCGTTCCAGAGCAGCCGGTGGCGGAGTTGAGAGGCCAGGTGGGCCTGGGCCCGGGAGACCCCAGTGGCATGAGGAGGCAGGAGGCACTGGTGGTGACGGCAGGGATGGCAGCGGAGGCGGGCCGCGACGGGGAGCAGTCTAGGCCCCCAGGGCTCGGTCGTACCGGCGGCCCCCAAGAGCCCCGCCAACCATGTAAGTTCAGCTCCAGTTTCAGGCTGTGGCCGTGGGGCCCTGGGGCTGTGGGGCTGTGGGGATCAGTGACAAGGCTGAGGACCCCAGGGAGGAACTGGATGGAGACCTGAAGATTTCTAGGGAAGGAGTGGAGAGCCGCTGTTTGGCAAAGACAGAGATAAAGACACTGGCAGAAAGCACCCCGGATCTCTTCAGGTCAAGCGTGTAGAAGGAAATCTTTTCCCCTTTATGATGAGAATGGTTCATAAAGGCATTGATTTTTAAAGGGACCATGAGCGCCCTAACACAGCCGTCAGGAATGATGGGTGAAAACAGGGTCAGGAAGGAATGCAAGCAGCTTCCAGGTGCTGCTCAGAGTCTCTTGGATTACCTCTCTGGTGAGGAACCCTCCAGATGCTCTGGCTAATCCCCAGAGGCAATCAAGGGGCGGGGGAGGGGGGGGGGGGAAGGGGGGCATTCCCCACGTTCCATCCAAGTTTTCTTGCTGATCTGGAAGTTTTTCTGCAGGACAGGCTAGACTGGCTGAACGACTGGCTGACTGGCCAGTGAGCTCCAGGGATCAATATGCATGCCACCACACCAGGCTTTTCTTACTATACAACATAAACAGTTATTCTCGTCCACAGGTAATTGTGAGAAAAAGATACACAAGTAAGATGCTTAGGTTAAAAAAAAATCATTATCAACTGTTGTTAGAAGTCAACACGCCTGCCAAACTTACTCCAAAACAGAGCCCAGAGCTTCAGGGGTCTCTGCAGCCCTTCCCCCTCCCCCACGGTCCTGCACATGACAGCTTGTTAGCCAAATCAGTGGAGCAGCTCGGGCACACTGTGTGGACTTCTCTGTCTTTTTCTTCTTTTCCCTGCCTTCTCCAGTCTCTCTCCCTCCCACCTGCCCTTTCTCCTTCCGCAGTTTGCTCTGTGGATTCCCTGACTGCCACATCACAGTCTGTCAACGGGCCTGCACGAGCAGGCAGCTCTTCTCTCTGTGGTACGGTATAGACTTAGCCTCCTTCCCTGCCAAGCCATTTCCTGTGAAGGTCATGATTCTTCAGAGAAAGTCTAAAACAGGATAGAGTAAGGCTGCTTTCTACTCCCATGATCCCCACCTTTAGGAAACAAGAATGAGAACCCAGACGAGTCTGGTTGTACCTTTCTGAGTCCTCACCATCAGAAGTGGGGCAGGGTTACTACCCAAAGAGTTTGTCACCTTTGAGCCAGTCTGCACTCAGGACAAGTACACTTCTGCTCTCTGTTGGCTAACCGGGAACAAGAGGAGATGCCTGCCATATCTTTGTGAGATTAACATCGAATCGTAAATATCTAAAGACTTTGCTTGAGTTCTCCTCGGCTCCTTGAGTTGTGACAGGAAGCCCTTGTTCTCTGGTGGTTGAAAGGCTGTGTGGACAGACAGGTATGCAGCAGCCCGGTGCTGTTCTACCTCAGCACACAACCACTGTCCTGCTCTTATGCCACACTCGGCTCTAATATTCATTCCAACAGGTAGAATAGAAGGACGTCTGCCTTTATGTATTGATGGCTGGTTTTAAGAGACAGATATTAAGCCACCAGTTACACAGTAATTGTATGCAAATATGCAAATGAAACAACAATAAGTGAAACAAATGAGGAAAGAAAGGCTACCCGGCAAACGAAAAAAAGAAAAAAGAAAAAGACAGTTCTAGGCTGCAGAAGCAGGGAAAACTTCTCCAGGAACTGAATGTAGTAATGCATGAGGAACAGTTACTTCAGCAAAAACTCTGGAGAGAGACTTATCAGGGAGAGGGGACATGCAAAGGTGGGGTCAGGTGGACTGGTGATGGGGTGCTGAGCACAGAGAAGCCAACAGCAAAATCAGTCTGAAGACACACCCCAGGTCCTTTTAGGGTTCTGTTCTCTGGAGAGAGCAGAAAGAATGCAGCAAGGCACCGGGGACAAAGGCCAGTCCTGGGCTGGGGCAGCAGTGAGAAATGGGGCTAGCCTTAGAGGCCACAGAAAGTCCTGGACCTTAATCTGTGGTTAATGTCTATGGATCTAATCTCTTGTTTATTTTATCATTTGTTAGGGTGTGTGTGTGTGTGTGCGTGTGCGTGTGCGTGTGAGGCCACAGAGTCCAGAAGAGGGCATTGGGTCCTCGGGAGCTGGAGTTCCAGGCTGCTGTGAGCCTCCCTGTGGGTATCAGGAACAGAGTTCCAGTTCTCTGCAGGAGCAGCAAGCACTTGGTTGATGAGTCATCAGTTTGTAGTCTTACGGAAGGGAAGCTAGGGATGCCAAGGAGGTGAGGCTGGGGAGGCTGGTCTAAACACTTGCTGTGCAAGCATGAGGACCCGAGTTCAAACCTCAAGAGCACGGAAAGCCAGCCACCGCAGCAATAACCTGTAATTTCAGTGGTGAGGCAGGAGGCTAGCACAGGAGAGTTCCGGGAAGTTTTCGGAACATGTAGTCTGACATACGCAGTGGCAAACAACAAAGAGACAAGAGACCCTGTCTCAGACAATTTGGAAGGAGAAGACTGAAATCTGAGTGGCCTCTCACTCCACATACATGCTGGAGCATATTCGTGTTACACACACGCACGCGCACACACACGCATACACACATGTGTGCACACATGCATACACACACATGCATGCTCACGTGCATATGCGCACGCATACATACATACACACACACATGCACACACGCACACATCTGGACTCTAGTATCCAGACACAGATCTGTCTTACCCTTTGCTCTGTCCTCGTCCCCAAAGGAAATGTCAGGAACAGAGTAGGTCTTTAACCAGAAGTCACATGGTGGTGCATGCCTGTAATCGCAACACCAGGAGGCTGAGGCAAGATGGTCTCAGGTTCTACAGCAGGCTGGGAAACACAGGAGGACTTTGTCCCAAAACAAAGCCAACATCCAGCCCCAGACCCTTTCCTTATTAATAATGAAAGTTCACAGAAATAATGAGAATGTTTCATGTATTTCTTCATCATACCTAAGACAGAACCCTGAAGCTTACTCCACACCCTCAGAAATTACATAGAAGTATGAAGTCCTCTAAAGCAGAAGTTGTGATAAAAGAGATCATCCCAAGAAACATCCCAAGAGTCTGCAGGACAAACTGTCTGCTGTCTCTAAGGGATGACATGCCAGTTTTCAGAAAGCTATTCATATAGGAATAACAGCTGGAAGGCTGGGCAGGGTTGGTGATAAGTCAATTGTGAATACCTTTCCAGGGAAGACATTTTTATACTGCGAGCCCCATAAGAGAATCAAGGAGGTTTTGGAAGAAGAACTTTCCATCAAGAGGGATGAGTGCCACGTGAAAAGCCCACCTACAGGTAATCTTAGCCACAAGGAAGTAGGTTTGCTATGAGTTTGTTTATTTGATGGCAGGGTGTCTAATTTATTTGTGATGAAATGATAACTTAAACCAAAAGAAGAATGTTCCTGGGAAATCGTAAAACTTTCTTTTTGCCTCTGTCCAAATATAGCACTATGTAGTGGAAAGTGAATTAGATCTTTAATATATTTTTTTTTTGCTGTCCATACTTGTGGATGGTGTTCTTTCTATTTGATAGTAAGTAAGTAAGTAGAACGTTTGCACAAGCCTGGGACACACAGTAACATCTTCAGATAATCAACACAGATTTGCAGTGGGAGCAGGGGTTCCCAAATGTTACATTGTTTCGCTAACCCAGGAGCTTTTTAAAGCAGCTTCCTGTGGGGAAAGCCTTGAGTACTAAGTTCCCAGGTGATAGGCATTCCTTGGCAGAGACTCTCCCTGCCAACTCTTGCAGCAGTGTGAGCCACTGAACTAGGTCAGATCTCCCAGTGATCTCATTTTAGAAAAACACAGTTCATGAGAGACACAACTGGTCACTGATAGCTCTCGGGATAGTTCATGTGTTGCCCACACGTCCTCACAGACATCATTCTCAGATGACTGGCACCTCGTATCCATGATTCCTTTCCAGCCAGGATCACTGAGAGACTGTTTCCAGTCTTTCAAATAATCAAGCTTTCATTACAATGTTAATGGGGTCCTGGATTTGCTAGAGGAAATACCTAGGTCAGCAAGATGGCTCATGGGGGTAAAGCACCTGCTGGGAAAGAAAGCCTGTTGAGCTCAGAAGTTCAGTCCCTGAAACCCACAATCCCTAAAGTTCCTGCATGGTCCTGGTGTACAATGCCCTGACAAAAGTGACGTCAGTGGAGGAGGCTTACATAACTCTCAGTTCTGAGTCAGTTCCCAGTGAGGACATCAAGGCAGGAACTTGAAGCGGCTAGACACATCCACAGTCAAGAGCAGAGAGAGAAAGTGCATGCATGCAAGTCCACCGCTCAGCTTGCCCTCTGTAATTTAGTCTAGGACCCTAAGCCCAGGGGATGATGTTTCCCAATGTGTGGCTGGGTCTTTGCATGTCAATTAGCATAATCAAGACAATCTCCCACCAACGTAAAATCAGGTCAACCTGATTTTAACAAACCCTCATTGAGACTCCTCTAGGTGATTCTAGGTTGTATAGAGTTGACAATTAGGGCTAATCATTACACCACATAAAGGTGGAAAGAGAACCAACTCCACAAACCTGTCCTGTGCTCCGCATGCAAGCTGCAGACATACACCCATCATGCACACATACCACATTAATAAAAAGTAAAATAAATGAAAGAAATCATGAACCTCAGACTCCAGTGTTCAGAGACCTGGTTGTCTTCTGGGTGGACTGTTCTGGGAGGTGGGGCCCAGTTCTTTTAGGAGTTTCTAATAAGAGATACTGGCAACCTCAAGGCGTATCATCCAGACTCAGCCCATTTACGTGTCTAAGTAGCCGTAATGTTTACTTTGGGACTGACTGTATCACCAATGACACAGTGCATCTTCAAGAAAAGCTTGACATCTACTCTCCACGCTGTGAATAGATGTAGAACGACCTACCAGCCTACGTGCACTATGTTCTTGGTGATTAAGCAACTTTTTCCCTAGTTATTATAATAGTTTGGATTCAGCTTCATTGTTTTTAAGGACCATATAGAAGCTAAATAACACATTTACCATTTTCTGAGGAGGAACAAGTGTATCTTTCTTACTGAGTGTGTTTGACTGTGAGACAGCCTAAGAAAAAAGGAAATAAATATTCATTTTTCTCAGTATTTTCAAATATTGACTTAGCATTCTGCTGTCTGGGTTGCATTTTTATAGCATCCAACAGAGGGCACCCAAAGGTATTATTTTACCTAGAAAACTCTCTGAATGTTTTAAAGGGCACCTCCAGGATAGGGAACGAGCACCCAGGGAGGGTGACAGACTCCTCCTGCCTGGCAGCAGTGTGGGCAGCCCCTAACTAGCCACTGGGCCTTCTAGCAGGGTGTGCAGGGGCACTGGTCTTTAAATTCCCGACAACAGCCTTAGCTACTCCTTCCCAAAGACACACATGGTCACAACAGTTCAGATTCTGCATCCAGCTTCCGTATGCAGTAGGAGCTCTCTGTGGATGCTGAGAGTGAGTGCCCGTGGCAGGTTGCCTCAAGCTGGTACTCATCGTTTGGTCCTCCTCTTCCCTGCTATAAGTACACTGTGGTCCCCGAGAGTTTGAAAACATTTCCAGATAGCAGATACCTCTGATGGCCAAGGCCTGTGTCTCTTCACCATGCAGCCTCTCAGTGGTGTCTGGCACAAGCGTCTACTCCTTTTTTCCTTTGATAGCTTCAAGATGGCCTCGAGTACAACAAGCCCCACTCCCCTGGCTCTGCTCCTTTCTCTCTCTCTCTCTCTCTCTCTCTCTCTCTCTCTCTCTCTCTCTCT